TGTGATTCTTTTGATATCCATGCAGATAATACAAAAAAAATTACAATCGTACACATTTTTTATTTTGATGATGTCTTACTGAACATAAATGTTCTTTAAAATTGTTCTTTACAATCGTACAATCTCACCAAAGAAATCGTTCTTTAAAATATTACTTTTACAAACACTTCCTACTCAACATAAATATACACTAATAATACATAAATAGCCTGATCATACATCGTCTAATCTTCTACCTTCAATTCAATGCAAATACAAGCACTCCTCCCCATGATTTTATTCATATTGATTGGTAACATAGTGGTTGGGTTGTTATTTAACATTTTGTTTCTCCCTTTTCTTGTTGGGTTTGGGCGTCCTATACTTACAGATTAGTTTCATTGTTTCACGTTTCCTGTCTATTTTGATGGCAGACTTGCGTGATCTGTAAACAAAGCCACGGTTCCTGTATAAGTTGTTGCAAATGTGCTACACATTTTCATGTGACGTGCGCGTCAAGAATGGGATATATCATGGAAGTAAGTTTAATGGTCCCTCTGAATATGAACAAACCAAAGTTCTAAAATTGTTTGTGGTTTTCTTCTTAACTTGCTTCATCAATCTTTCCGTAATAAATAAGGTTCCAGGGATGTTAGCATTTAATTGTATGATGATTGCCACTGCTGGGGAAATATTGATATTGTTTGAATTTACAGTTGCATTCGACAGAAAAGAATGGGACAACAACAACGAAGATGCTAATATACTGTGCAAATCACAGGTTTGAGCTCTGGTCACTAAAGTACAATGGCTTGTTTTCCGTGATTTTTTTTTTGAGAATGTTCATATATAAGAAAAATATCATTTTAGGGTCCCAAACCCAGATTCAGGACTGGTTGTACATACACCCATGGAGGTATTCTCACCGACAGTTTCGCTTCAAAATCACCCGAGGTGCTTCAGGGGATCAAGTCTGGCTTCGACAAAGAATGTAGAACTTCTTGAACCTTCAAACTCTGAAATTCATGAGATTGATCCACTCTCCGCTGCCCGAATTCGTGTGTACGAAAGGTCTTCCAATAAGGTAATTTAGAACATTTTATTGTGGCCGTAAAATTATGAGATTTTATAGCCTTTTGTTTTATGGTCATAGTCTCTTACTGTATTTCAGCTGCATCCAAAACTAAAATACTAAAATCTGGATTTGGTGTAAAGGATGTTATTTGGGATTTTTACATTTAATAACTTGGGTTAAATATGTTTTTAGTCCCTAAACTATTGACAGTTTCTGGTTTTCGTCCCTCTTCCAAAGTAAGGTACAATTTAGTCCTCAATCTTTAAAAAACGTTCGTTTTAGTCGAAAAAACGAACGTTTTGAGGACGGACTAAAACGAGGACTAAAAACAAAATTTTGAGGACTAAAACGAACGTTTTTCTAAAGAATGAGGACCAAATTGTACCTTACTTTGGAAGAGGGACGAAAACCAGAAATGGTCAATAGTTTAGGGACTAAAAACATATTTAACCCTAATAACTTTATAAGAAAAAACACATGCATTATGTATATTTGTATTTTTTTTATGATAATAAAAAATAATAAAATATTTAGTATTATTATTATAATTATAAAATTAAATATAAATAATTATAATTTTATTTATTTTGTAGGTAATTTTTTAATTAAATTAATTAAAAAATGGTTAAATTTAAAAAATATTGAAAAAAAAGTTAAATTTAAATAAATTATCACTTAAAAAGTAATATTAATAAAATAATTATTTTATTTTAAAAAATATTTGAAAGATAAAATTGAATACGAAAAGGAAGAATTTCATTAAACATAGGTATAAAAGTAAGTTATATTTTAAATTGCAATTTCTAATTAAAGGAAATCGTATTTGAGAACACAAATTTTAATTAAAAAATTGAGATTTTATGATAATTTTTTTTAAATAATAAACATATTTTTTGAAATATTTATTCTTACAAAAGTATTTTAAAATTCAACCTATATATATACCCTTTAATATTTTTGAAATCTATCCGTTAAAAAATATATATATTTTTTTAAATTATTCCGTACATTATCTAATCTCTTTTGTTTCGTCTCATTCAATTTATTGCCAGAAGAATGCTGCGCCTGCAATTCACTTGCTTGGGGGGCCAAAGCTTCACTCTTTAGGTGAAATAACTCAATTGAATGGTATTAAGGTAATACTTTTTTTGGTGTTTGACCTCTGCTTTTGAAATGGGTAACAAGTCTTTTTGAGTTGTGACTGCGATTCTTTTCCCGTTTGGTAGATTTTTTTTCCTGAGTTATATCTTTGTTCTGTGACAGGATGATCAAGCTCTTGAATTTTCTTCTCTTAAGGAACGTCTTCATCATTTACGGGTTAGTTAGTCTCTCCATTTGGTCAAATTAAAACTTAACTTTTATTTTCAAATTAGCGATCTGTTTGGTTTTCTTGCCTGGTTATATTCAACCTTTAATGTTTTGGGGTTCCAGAAGACAGAAAGCCAAAGAGTTTGCTTAGGAAAATCAGGAATTTATGGATGGGGCCTCTTTGCTCGTAGAGATTTACAAGAAGGAGAAATGGTAACTATGTTAATTTAAGATGAATTGTAGGATAAGTATTACCCTAGTTTCCTTGAAGCACAAAATGGACTTGTTTTTTATGCGTGTCTGCAGGTTGTTGAATATCGTGGTGAGCAGGTACGACGTAGTATTGCAGACCTAAGGGAAGCAAAGTATCGTTCAGAAGGCAAAGATTGTTACGTGAGTATCTTGTTTTTTTATTTCGGTATTGCACATTACACCCAACACTTTCAGTATGCTACCTTATTCTGATAAAATAATGAGATTTCATTGATTGGTAACTCAAATTTTATGTGCTTTTTGCTTGCTGTTTGCTTCACAGTGAAAAATGATAAATTAATTGTTTTTTTCCCAACTTTTTATTGAGTTTTTATACAGAAGTTCTATAAATATTGAGATTTATCAAAATTTGATTTTAGATAAATAGTCCTTTTTATTCTCATTAATTCTACTTGGGTCTTAAATATTAAGGTTAGGCAGTTCCATTTTTCATGTCTGCGAATTGCTCCACCCTCCCTTTCCAAGATAGTCAATCTGCCAAAGCTAAACTTTTTAGTTGGGGACATGGGGAATTGTGACTTGAACTTTGGTGCTCTACCTATTCTATCATGTTCCATTTGTACCTCTAGTTCATGTTCAGATTTCTACAGCAGATGTTTAGTGTTAACGTTGGGATTCATTGTACTGCGATCTAAATGCCAAATGATATAAACTATGCAGTTGTTCAAGATTAGTGATGAAGTGATGATTGACGCAACGGATAAGGGCAATATTGCACGTATAATAAACCATTCTGTAAGTCATTCTGACGAATCTTGTCTTTGGACTCTGGTTTTGCGCCGAAGGTAGAACTGATTTCATGTACTTTGGTTGCTCTATGGCGCTAAAAAAATGTGGGAGATGTTGGTGTTCAATGATGAATTATTTGTTAATGATTTTTTTTTGAATCAACCTGTTCTGTTACAGTGCATGCCAAACTGCTTTGCTAGGATTATGTGCTTGAGTGATGAGGAGAATCGGATTGTGCTTATTGCGAAGACCAATGTTTCGGCTGGTGAAGAACTAACGTACGGTTTGTTGTGTTTGTATATTTTTAACGTTTGTGCATTTAAGGAATCATGCATATTGAACTGAACGTGACAAACATCATATATAATAATATAATAATGTCTTACTTTTAGGAATGAAGATGCTATTTAGCTTAACATTTTTTGTCTTTAAATGTTGCAACAGGTATAATTACTTGTTCGATGTAGATGAGCCAGATGAACTGAAGGTTCCCTGTCTCTGTAAAGCCCCTAATTGTAGGGAATTTATGAACTAGGTTCCCTGTCTCTGTTCTACATTGTTTCCAGGCCTACAAGTTTTCCAACCATGTGGAAATATTTGTTGATTCTTCAACTTTTAGGCTTTTTCATAAGTTAATTAATTTGTATACCATTGGATTTCAATTTATAGAATAAAGGAAAATTTGCTTACAATGAATTTACTGTAATGACATATGTTCCATAATATTTTTCGCCTGTACTTTTTTCGGTACTACAGGTATTTTTTTATTCACATCTATTGTTCAAACACTTAATTTTAAGAGCTTAACTATATGATGACTTACTATGTAAACTCTTATAATCAATTGAAAATCACCTTAGATTAATGGTATCTAATTTGAATTGGCCATCTCAGTTATTGTATTGACTGGTTTGAATGGGAGGGAGTGAATTTTTGAATGGTATAAATTGGTACAGAACAATTATAAAGTATTATATGATGAAGAAAATTATCCATAACACCCGTAAAAAGAAATTGCTAAATGTATATCTCGATGCCAAACACCTAAAAAACAATAAACATGTCCAGCAATTTAGTCCGAAAGAGAAATTTATGTTTCAGAATATAGTTTTCAAAAGAAGATACTTTTTTAACAATTTTTTTGACAACTTATTAACTTATTTGTTATTGGTTTGTTTTAAATATTTTTTTAAAACTAAATTCAAATGAATTAATAGAATAATGAGATGTTACCGTTTTTAAAAAATTGTTATGAAAAAATTATTAAAATAGTTTTCTTTTTAATATCCACCGTTAGCAGTAGAAAGATAAAATGTCATAATTAATAGAAGTAACTTGATTCAAATATACTAATATTATTATTATTTTGTTTATATGCATTAAGGTTATATTAGAAACTTGGAAGGAGGAGGAATTTGTTCCTACTTTGACCAAACCAATTATGGCGAGAGATAGAATTTGCAAGCGGTGTAAATGCAGTTTCAGAAATGGATTGAAGCCAAAAAGAGAGAAAAAACAGGAACAAAATAAATCAGAAACACAAAAACACGTACCTAGGTTTGGCTGTTAGTACTTTGGGTAGACCTATGATGTTGTGGTAAAATTAGCATTGAAAATGAAAAACCCTAATTAAGTGTGAAAAATTGGATGGACAGGAGTGTTACTCTCCCACTATATAAATTCTCTCCTAGGTCCAGTGATAACTCGTCTTGGTGTAAAAGCATAAAACACCAAGCCGAGAATAAAAGAAAAAAAACCTCTGACCGTGATTTCTGAATAAAAATGGATCACTCTGCAAAACTCCTGTGGGTGTTGGGTCTATGCGTGGCTGTAATGGCACAGCAGGCAACTGCACTGGACCTATTGAAAGTAAACCTTATTGGCGGAAAGGAAACACCAACAGGAAAGACTCTGATCAACAAGGTATGTTCAGCGTCCCCAACCAAAGACCTCTGCGTTCAGGTCCTCTCTTCTGATGCACTAAGCACCACCGCAAACCTCAAAGAATTGGCAATCATTTCCCTCAGGGTTGCTGCCAGAAACGCTTCTGGCATCCTCGCCGACACCAAAGTTCTCATCGATGACGACGAACTTGACCCTGATGTCCAACAAGGTTTGGCTGATTGCAAGGAGAACATCTTGGACGCAGAAAGCCAGCTGGAGGACACCATTGCTGCCTTGATGATCAATTCTGATGGTGACGCTCAGCTTTGGCTCAAGGCTGCCTTGGCTGCCATCGACACCTGTGATGCTTCCATCCCCGGAGACGACGACATTCTCTCCGTTGAGAGCGCCGTCTTCCGCAAGCTCTGCAACATCGCCAACCTCGTCATCAAGCAACTCGCTAATCCAACCAAATCTTAAAAACCTTCGGCTTTGTGAACCCATACATGTATCATTTTGTGTATTACTCTTTTCCTCATCCGGTGTTTGTCATTTTTAAACTCAGCAACTGCTCTCCAAGTCTTTTTCTTTCTGTCTTTTGTAATGTGAGAAAATGAAGGTTGCTGTGTTTCAGAAGTTACACAAACAACGCGATGATATGTGGTGCATGCAGGCTGATTTTCCGTGTGAATCTTTCATTTGGTTATTTTAAAAATTTTGGTTGAGAATTATTAAGATATATGGATTTATATAATTTCCTCGTTCTTATTTTTTCAATTTTGTGAAGAATGGCACACTATGATATCATTCTATTAGTAGTTGGCCTTAGGATGACACCTACGTTAATTTGACATGATTTTTATAATAAGAAAGTAAAAAATAATGAGAACGGTAGAAGTGTGTAAAAATATAATCTATTTTTCAATAATAAAGATGTTCGTACTAAATGACAGAAAGAAGGATAAGAGGAATCATATGCAATTTTTCAATAAAGATAAAAAGGAGGCTCTCAAGGATATCGCTATACACTGTTTTAGCTCTTAATAGAATAAGTAATATATTATATATTTTTATGAATTTGTCTATAAGAACCTATTGGAGAAGAAATAAATATTCACGAGCAGTTAAAACAAGACGCATGTTATGAATTGTTTGGATGAGTTTCTTCCTCTCTTTAAGAAAAAAATAGAATCAATTTTTTCACAAACTAAAATTAGTACACACACATATATAATTTACATTTTTTTTATATTTTGATCTCATGTATAAACTAATACTTAATAGAGAAGTTAGTTTTTTTTTTTAATTTTTTTGTAAAAATATCAAACATTTCACAATTAATGAGAATGACATAATATAGTCTGTATAATAAATAATCACAAATTATTATTTTGAATTCACTTTTAATCTTTTCATTTCATAATTAAATTATTTTCACTATAAAATAGAAATCTTTATTAGAAGAAGACACAAAATTATAATGTATAAACAATAACAAACTGTTCAGTATGATAGTATAGCTAGAGCTGTCAAAACGGGTAACCCGGCTCGACGTAGTCCGGCTCATCACGGGTTGATCACTTAGTGAGCCAACCCAACCCGGCTCACTTATTAGCGAGTTGAAAAAATTCGAACCCGGTCTAACTCATGGACTCATTTAATTATAAGTTTTTTTTAAAATAAAAAAATTACAATTTTTTTTAATTCAAATCTAAATAAACAACGTTACACTAAAATATGTTAAACTCCAAAGACAATTCAAAATAAATAAAAAAATATCATACAATCCAAACGTAATCCAAAAACATGTACAAAAGGCGAACAAATAAGTTGTTAATATTGATAATTTTTGTATCATTTTTTGATTTATAATATAGATAAATTTATAATATTTTTCTCTCTTAAAACATATTTTTTTATCACCATCTACAATACAATAAAAAAATATTAACTACTAATATTGAAACACAAAATAATAAATAATTCCCACCACGGGTTCAACCCGGTGAGCCGGGTTCTAAGTAAGCCGGGTTGAAAACTAGCCTACATAAAAAAATTACATTTTTTTCAAACCCAACCCGGCTCAAATCCGTTGTGAGATGAGTTGGCTCGCGGGTTACAATCCATTTTGATAGCACTAGCTTAAAAGATATATTACTTTCATATTGAGAGTCCTCATATAAAATTTTTAAATCCAACTTTAAATAATAATGGTGGTAACATCATTTGGGAAATACTAAAATCTAGAACTTTAAAATGGTTATTTTCTTATTAGACAGATTTATCATAAATACTTTTGATGAATAATAAAAACAAAAAAAAATATGAAAAAAAATTGTGAATTAATTTCTTGTAGTAGTTGACCCGTTGCCAATGGATTTAGAAATGCTTAAATTGACATTTTTTTACAGCATGTGTCAAATGTTTTTGAGATTGAAATTGACCTATGGTTATTTTACTTAGATGTAGTTACAAAATTTACCGTAAATCGTGTAATTAAAAAATATATTTTTTTTCTCAATAATATATATCTATACATTATTTGGTTTCTACTTTTAGGGGTTTGGTTCTCACGTTGGGTGGTGGCACGAGAACGAAGGTGAGATGCGAAGGTGATGGAGGTGCAACAGAAGGGATAAGACACTTTGGTGGTGGTGTGTGATGCGTTGGAGAGGACGGCTGCCAGCGAGGATGACGGTGACGGCGTTGGATGATGCGGCGGCAGGGTTTCTTGGAGAGAAATTATGGTTTGTCTGGAGATGGTGATGATGGCGTGACAAATTTTTTTTTTTTAAATTAAAAAATCATTTAAGTCTACCTATTAACGTGTGTCACGTGACAGTGACATTTTCACCGTTATGTTTTTAAACAAAATATGAGCCTTATTGAAGTTTTTTAAAAGGTATAATTACTTTGAACCAAACCTCTAAAAGTAAATACTAAATGATGTATTAAACCTATCATTTACTAATACAAAGATTCTATATACCTCCTCACTTTGATGTTGCATTATATCATTCATCAAGTTAGATATACAATTTTTAAGTTGTTCTATATATAATATTAATCATTCTTATTGTTGAATGTAAAATAAAAAGTTGACTCATAATACTCTTTTGGATAGAATGGTAAACAAAATTTATCTACAATTTTTCTAAATTATTTATATGTCTTCAAAAACTTAATTCTTTTACCAATTTCAAGTTTCACTCATGAATTCCATAAAACTAAGAATACATTTGAATTTTTTTAATAGGATACACCCACGATATCCTGATATTTGACTTTTGAGAAATAATACTAATGATTCTTATAAATCATAATAAATTAAATCCATTTTATGTTGACTTTAGGTATTCATTAGAAAATATTAACAAAAGTTAAATATATAATATATTTTTGGCTTATATAATTAAGTTTAAGTCTTAATAAATTTTAAAAATTTCAAATTAGTTTTTAATAAATTTTTACGATTTATTATGTCAATCAAATCTGTCTCATTAAATTTTTCTGTTAACTATAGTTATTAACTAAGTGGCTTTTTCTGTTAACTATAGGTAACAACCTAGAGATGTGACAGACACTTTATAGAATCCGTTTTGTAATTTTATAATTTTGTAATTTTACAATTTTACAGTTTTACAATTTTACAATTTTATAAGTTTATAACTTTATAACTTTATAACTTTATAATTTTACAATTTTACAATTTTATAAGTTTATAACTTTATAACTTTATAATTTTATAATTTTATAATTTTATAATTTTATAATTTTATAATTTTAAGAAAAGCAATGAAAAAGGTATAAAAGGAGAAACGGATAAATTATAAAAAGTAGAAAAAGGAGAAAAGGATTAAAATTATAGAAAATATTAAAGTATAAAAATTATAAAATGTATAAAATTATAAAACAATTATAAAATTATAAAATATAAAAATTATGAAAAAGGAGAATAAAATTATAAAAATTTAATATGATAAAATTATTAAAATTATTTAAAATTA